ACTGCTACATATGTTCAAATGGAAGACCTGTTCTAGAAAACAAACCAATTAAGAATACACAATTCAGGGGCGCCTGGTTGGCTCAGTGGGTTAAGCCTCTGCCTTTGGCTCAGGTCATGATCTCAGGGTCCTGGGATCGAGCCCCGCATCGGGCTCTCTGCTCAGCAGGGAGCCTGCTTCTCCCTCTCTCTCTCTGCCTGCCTCTCTGCCTACTTGTGATCTCTGTCAAATAAATAATAAAAATCTTAAAAAAAAAAAAAAAAAAAAAGAATACACAATTCATTCCACAAACGTTTGCTATGTACCTACTATGTGCCCGAAATAGTTCTAGGAGGTAAAAATGGAGAATCAAAGTTCCTATTTCTTACTGTACACAACTTAGTGAACCACACATATTGTAGCCATCCTTAATTCTAAGACAGTAGTTCTTTATTTTGGCTGACATCATCCCCAGCGGAGGACTGATAAAACAAACCAACAAGAAAACATGAAGCCAGATCAGGTGAACAGATTCTGATTTAGTAGATCTGAAAGCGAGGTTCATGGATCTATTCTGGGATTTTTGTAGGTTATTTCATTCAATCTACTATATTTTATTCAATTCTTTTCTTGTTTGTACATTGATTCGTCAGCTTATTCTTTTACATTTTAGTATATGTGCTGCCGAAGCGAGCACTCTTTTATATTTTATTATATTTTTAAACAATATCTGATTCATTTGTGGTTCTCTTCTTTGAAAATATTTACAGCTGGAAGTATAATCCTAATCCTCTTTACCTATTTTGTCCATCCCCTCCCCTTCCCGCTGGCAACCACTAGTTTGTTCTCTGTATTTAAGAGTCTATTTTTTGGTTTCTAGATTTCACATATAAGTAAAATCAAATGGTGATTTGTCTTTCTCTGTCTGACTTATTTCACTTAGCATAATACCCACTCTAGGTCCATCCATATTGTTGCAAGTGGCAAGATCTCATTCTTCTTTTATGGCTGAATAATATTCCATTTTATATACATATATCACTTCTTTAGATTTCTCTACTCACGTGTCTATCAGTGGATATCTGGGTTGCTTCCATATCTTGGCTAATGTCAATAATACTGCAATAAATACAGGGGTGCATATCTTTTTGAATTAGTGTTTTTCTTTGGGTAAATAACCCAAGTGAAATCACTGGATCATATGGTAGTTATAGTTTTAATTTTCTGAGGAACCTCCATATTGTTTTCTGTAGTGGCTACACCAGTTTATATTCCCACTAACACTGCATGAGGCTCCCTTTTCTCCACCTCCTCGCCAACACTTGTTATTTCTTGTCTTTTTGATACTAGCCATTCTGACCGGGATGATGTGACAGCTCATGGTTTTGATTTGTATTTTCCTGATGATTAATAATGATGAGCATCTGTTCATGTGCCTTTTGGCCATCTGTATGTCTTTTCTGGAAAAATGTCCATTCAGGTCCTCTACCATTAGATCTTTTCTTGGTGTTGAGTTGTAGAAGTTCTTTATACATTTTGGAGATCATCCCTTTACTGGACGTATCACTTGCAAATGTCTTCTCCTATTCAGTAAACTGCCTTTTCATTTCATTTCATTTGAATTAGTGGTTTTCTCTGGGTAAATAAAGAGCAAAAGCTCTTTATTTTTGTGTAGTCCCAATCGTTCATTTTTGTTTCTTTTTTCTCTTGCCTGAGGAGACATGTCCATAAATATGCTAAGGCCCAAATCTGTCCAACAGATTATTGCCTATGTCTTCTTTTAAGAGTATTATGATTCTGGGTCTCACATTTAAGTCTTTAATCCATTGTGAATTTATTTTTGTGTTGGGTCTAAGAAAGTGGTCCAGCTTCATCCTATCCGGTTTGCCCAGTCACATTTATAAAACAGACTATCTTTTCCTCATGTATATTCTCACCTTTTTTGTCATGGATTAATTGACCATATAACCATGGGTTTACCTTTGCACTATTCTGTTGCACTAATCTATGCATCTGTTTTCCTGCCAGTACCGGATTGTTTTGATTGCTCCAGCACTGCAGTATATCTTGAAATCTGGGATGGTGATATATTCAACTTTGTTGTCCTTTCTCAAGACTGTTCTGACTATTCGAGGTCTTTTGTGGTTCCACACAAATGTTTGAATCATTCATTCTGGTTTCTGTGAAAAATGTTATTGGTATTTTGATAGGGATTGCACTGAATCTGTAGACTGCTTTGGATAGTATGGACATTTTAACAATATTAATTCTTCTAATCCATGAGCATAGAATACCTTTCCATTTGTCTGTGTCCTCTTCAAATCCTTTCAACAATGTCTTAGTTTTCAGAACACGGGTCGTTTACCTCATTGGAACATGGTTGTTTCAGATTGGCATGTTCCATTCAGTAATATGCATTTAAGGTGGTTTTACCCCTTTTTATACTTTAACAACACTGGGTAATATTCCATTGTCTGCATATAGCACAGCTTGTTTACTTACTGGAGGACATCTAGATTGCTTCCAAGTTTTGTTAATTATGAATACAGCTGCTATAAACACTTGTGTGTAGATTTTTTGTCAGGACCTAAGTTTTCATTTGGGAAAATGAATACTTAGTTTTTAAATCCAACATGTAAACCCCTCAGATCCTTATTGACATGAGGCAGAAACCATAATACTCTGATTCTTTATTTCGTGGCTCAACCACGTGGAGAACTACACTTAGAGTGGTTTTGAGGAGGTAAATAATGCGATGAGAAAAGGAGCATTAGACCGAGTTCAGACTAAAGCAGAGATATTCATTTTTTTCTATTTTTTCATGGCAAAACACACACACTCCTGTAAGTGCACAGGAGAGTGATCTCACTGTTACTATCAGATTTGCCATCACCATTATCATCATCATGTTTTCTACACAACAGTGAAGAGCTTAAGGTGCTCAAAATAATTATACTCTCATTCATTACGTAAGAGGCCAAAATGTTTGTAAATATATAGATGTTAGCAAACATTTCAGTACAGATTTCAGTGCAAATCCCTATCGTCTCTTAAAGCTGTGAATATATTAAAAAATAAAGCAGCTTACACATTTAGACATGCAATACAGAATAACTATACAGATAAGGAAGATACTTGTTTTTGCTATACTTAATCCATAATTACCTTAGTTTTATTTGCTAACTTTGACCCTGATTCATCTTAATTTCCTTCCTTTATCTCTCTGCTCCTTAGATTTATTCTGATGCTATTATACATATCTATGTCATCTGTCTGAAATCTTTGTTGGTGCAAGACAGACAGTATTAGAGAATAAATCAAATAATCAAGGTAGTTCAAACCTCATTAAGCTCTCTGAAAACTGCTTCTACATTCCTTTTCTCTTTTTTACAAACTAAAATTCTCCTTAGAAAAACTAATTTCTAATTTTTTGGTGTGAATTCCTTTTCATACCCATTGTTAAAAAGTCTAACATTGCTAGTGATCTAATTTCAAACTGAGAGTCTGTATTACCAGTTGACTAAAAATAACGTTAAAAAATAGCAAAAATAGCACTATACCTAAAAAACTACTTAAAGGTCTCTTAAACTTTGGGTCTCTTTTATATACTTGTTTACACTTTGCATAATAAGAACTTGGAAAAATATAGAAAAAGGATAAGAAACAAAATTAAAGGAATCTATAATACATTTTACTCAGAGAAATTTCTGGTCACTTTTGACTGTATCTTGCTATTCCTCTTTTTAATGCTACAATTCACTCATAAATAAAGTGGGGGGGGAAGGCTGAAGCCAATGGCTGGTTCTACTTCAGTTTCCTCAGCCCCAAAGGAGTCCAGTCTTCTCTACGCAATCAAACATAAAACAACTTCTGTCTCTGTCATTCACAAACACATCTCACATACACAGTCCCTGTTCCTAAGTGGATGAGGTCTGATAAGACAAAGGAGTATGACTGCTATAAACACGTCTTATCCTGTCTTTTCTAGACGCTCATGACTTTATATATTTATATTTGAAAACTCACCTCGCTTTTCAAAATGTTACCTTATTCTACTTCACTTAAGTCAGCCTTCTCCACACACCTGTATCAAAAGGCTGTTTTTAACTCCGATGGCATTGAAAGAGGCAGTTTCTAAATCTTGGCTAAAAACTTGATTTAAGGGGCGCCTGGGTGGCTCAGTGGGTTAAAGCCTCTGCCTTCGGCTCAGGTCATGATCCCAAGGTCCTGGGATCGAGGCCCGCTTCAGGCTCTCTGCTCAGCGGGGAGCCTGCTTCAGCCCACGCCCCCCACACTCCCCTTCCACCTGTCTCTCTGCCTACTTGTGATCTCTGTCAAATAAGTAAATAAAATCTTAAAAAAAAAAAAAAACCTTAAAGTACATATACTTGCTTCCCCAAATTAACCAATCTATAGCCATAAGACCCATCTACAAAAAAGCACATGCCCTTTGGAGCTGATGTCTCATATACGGTGACCATATTTCTTTCACCTCAGTCTTGAGCAATGAATACTTCATTCAGAATGCAAAGGTGGTGTTAAGCAAGAACTGATGCCTGAAAGTAAGCAGAAATAGCAGAAATATATTCCTATTCCACAATGATACATTTCACGACAGAACCAAGTAATTACATCTGGTTTGATGAGGTGTAATTATTTTCACTGTTAAACTAGCCCTGTACTTCTTAGAAAGACTCTTTGGATCTCCTCCCTGCCTGTCTATTTGGAGTGAAAACAACAGGAAATGGGCTAATGTGAAAAGCCACTCGCTCGGATACTTGTTATTGAGCTTATGTAAAACGTCACATGGCACTTGTGACCCAAGGATATTTCTGCCATAAACTATTAATAAAAACAGAGGATACGATATTCAGCTCTTCCTCGGAAAACGATCGGAAGGTCTAACCAGCCATCCCTATAAGACCAATGGCCGTGAAATAACACTGTTAGGTATAAGATGTTTCTTTTCGGATGTCCGGCTCCATGGATCACTCCTTACAGCAAACATCTCTGCCCATTACCTTGCAAATCAGAATCAGTCGACTTTGGACTGCTCCTGGCCCGCCGCTCCGTTTTCTTAATTCCTGGCCCACCCCCGCTGCCTCCACTGCCTCCGCTGCCTCCAGCGCTGTGGCCCTTCCCATAGCCATTGTACACGGGTGTGCAGTTGCTTTTGTAGATAGAAGACGGGGGACTGTTGAGGCGGTTCTGGCGGTCAATCTGGCGGTCTTTCAGTTTTTTGTGTGGAGGCTTGCTGTACTGGTCTTCCCGGGTAATGTAGCTTGACATTCCATAGAGCGGTATGATTTCTGAAACGGAGGATTATGACAAACACACACTCAGTCTACATTTTATGTATGTATTTAGTTAGTTAGTTTTGTTTTGTTTTATTTACTTGTCAGAGAAAGAGTGTGCAAGCACAAGCAGGGGGAGTGGCAGGCAGAGGGAGAAACAGACTCTGCTGAGCAGGGAGCCCCATGCAGGAGACATCCCAGGACCCTGGAATGTCACCTGAGCAGAAGGCAGACACTTAACCAACTGGGCCATCCAGGCGCCCCAGTCTACATTTTCAGTAAGAAATTTTAAATGGTCGGGGACGCCTGGGTGGCTCAGTGGGTTGAAGCCTCTGCCTTCGGCTCAGGTCATGATCCCAGGGACTTGGGATCAAGCCCCGCATCGGGCTCTCTGCTCAGCAGGGAGCCTGCTTCCTCCTCTCTCTCTCTGCCTGCCTCTCTGCCTACTTGTGATCTGTCAAATAAATAAATAAAATCTTAATAAATAAATAAATAAATAAATGGTCAAAAGACCTGGCTCCTGAAGAAGGAGTTTAAAAAACTACTAAATATTTTTAATTTTACATATATATAGAATACATGTTTAAATTGTTCCCATTCATTTTGAACCAACTGAAGAATGATCATTAAAAACTGTATTGTGTGAAAGAACAAATAAAACAACTGTAGTGCATTTTCATGAATGTTCCAAAAATTATGGAAAATACTGAAGATAAGGTTACTGTCCCTGAAGAGTTCATATTCTAATTGAATTTATATATAGATTTTGTTGTCAAAAATCACTGTCCAATGTTTTTTAACCGCAATATATCGAAAACAAATCAGAAAAAAAAAAAACAGCCCCATAAACGTGTCCTTAGAATCAAGACACTTAAAACAATACTCATCGTTATAAACAAAATAGCATTTCTTCTGAAAAGCATATAACATATGGCTTCTCGGCCTTTTGGCTAAGATCAAGTGAAAAGTGTATAACAATCAGAATCTAAGGAGTTGTTTATGGCATGTGAAAAAAGCCAACTTCTGAATAAAACTTACTAACATGATGAGATGAAAAATTTAACTAAAAATAATCAAAGCTCACAGAATCAGGGGAAATGTTCAAAGAGAAACAGCAGGAGTAAACAGAAGCCATCTCTGCAACCTGGTGGCTCACGTAGTAAGCTGTGGTCTCAAGCGTCTATTTTCGAGTAAACTAGAGGCAAGATAAACTGACTAGTAGAATGTCACCTGGCTTCATTATGTAGAATTTTTTTTTTTTTTAAGATTTATGAGCACAAGTAGGTGGAGGAAGAGAGGGAGAAGCAGACCTCCAGCTGAGCAGGAAGCCCAAAGCAGGACTGGATCCCAGGATCCTCGGATCCTGAACTGAGCCAAAGGCAGACAGACACTTAAGCGACTGAGCCGTTCAGGAGTCCCTATTATGTAGACTTTTAAGTGGCTCCAAAAAAAAACAATGGGAGCTTACAAAACAATTTCTGATCTTAGGGGAAAACATTTATTTTAAATTAAAAGATGTTAAAATCAATTAAAAATTGCATTTAGACATTAATAAAAATGACAATATATAACACAGAGATTGGGTCCTTAAGTGATAATAAGAAAAAAGGGCCCCCATACGCACAGAATGACCAAGTAAGTTAGCATTCCAAGCTGAATATTTCTGAGAGTGAAAGGTAGCATTCCTACCCTGTCTCTGGACAAGAGACCTAAATGGGGCCTGTTTTAAGCATACCAGGAATGCACACTCCCCTTACTTAACATAACTGACCTTTCAACTGATCAATGGTAAAGCTCCACTTTTCTTTCTGTTCATATAGCTTAGAGAAGATCTTTAAAAAGCAAATCTTCACAAGGTAACCAAACTGCACTAAAGAATGTAAAAACACAAATGCAATGTGATTCAGAGCCTATGCCCAGGGTGCCTGGGTGGCTCAGCTGGTTAAGCATCAGACTCTTGATTTTGGCTCTTGAGTCATGATCTCAGGGTCAAGAGATAGAGCCCCACATCAGCTCCTGACTCAGAGGGGAGTCTGCTTGAGAGTCCTTCTCTTTGCCCACCCCCCACCCCGGGCTCACGCTCCCTCTCTTGTTCTAAGAGCCTATGTCCAATTAAATCATACCCAAATATACAAAAGGATATTAATTGTTTTAAATATCACAATACGTTATACTTGAAATTTAAGATATTCACCATGGACACTAATATAATAATCTTTTAAAACACGTTGAAACTTTACTCCTCCGGTATGGGAAATTAAATGTTTTAAGTTGTTTTTAGATACATACACCGGGAAGTAAGGTAAGGGATATATATATAGGGCTTTTAAACTATAAAACAAAAGGATTTTGTTTTTTGCTTTCTTTAATTTGAAATCAATGAGGCACTTTCATTTTTACATTATTACACCATGTTATTACAATGAAAATAAACCAAAATACCCTCTGAAAGAAAAACACTTTTCTTCTTAATTCTAATGACCATTTAAATCATACTGCTGTCTAAAATTGAAGAGGACATCATTTACAAAAGGTAACTACATGGCTTCCTACTAACACACTGTGTAAGGCACTCTTCATCAAGCAATTAGCCAGTCGCCAAGGCTTTTAGTCATTAAGCTCAGACCAAATCAGAAAACTCTGACAATACTCAAATATTTCATGTGCCTTGTGTCAAAGCACTGAATACTTTCTTAAAAATGACAGTTAATTATTTTTTTCAGATTTTATCCAAATGCTTTCATGGCATTTCCTCACTCTGTTTGGGGGGGTTATGTCATTAGGCAGGAAGATTTTATCAATACAAAATTATCAATGCCATCATTTCTCCATGCCCTGCTATGATAGCACTTGATTCTTCTGAATTTTGTATTTCTAAGTACTGAATTTCTAACTACTAAAACAAACAAAAACCAAAACAACAAACTCAAATTCTATCCCTAAGTTGGAAGAGGATGTTCCACTTAAAATAACCATCTCAAATTTTTATTTTGTTAGGGAAAAAAATTACGATATGAGTTAAGCATACAGGGGGAAAAATATATATACATACATAATTGATAAGTGAAGTTTACAGTAAGTTGCTATTCCTTATACAGCAGGAATTCTCGTATTCGAACCAATAGAAAGAAATGTTTGAAGTGATAAAATGCTTCAATTCATAGAAGAAAATCACTTTGCAAAGCTTTAGACATCTTAGCTATTAAAGTCTGATTTTGGGGGGACACTTGGGTGGCTTAGTTGGTTAAGCATCTGCCTTCAGCTCAGGTCATGATCTCGGGGTCCTGGGATGGAGTGTGGCTTTGAGCTCCCTGCCAGTGGGGAGCCTGCTTATCTCTTCCCTCTCCGTCTGCTGCTTCCCCTGCCTGTGCTCTCTCTCTCTCTCTGCCAAATAAATAAAATCTTTTAAAAAAAAAAAAAAAGTCTGATTTTTTTTACCCTCACGTATCTGGTTTCTTAGTATCCATTTTGATAGAAAAAGGCTTTAGACTCAACCAACACCAAGGCCCAAACTAGAAAGACGTAATGTCTGAGACTCTTTCATGTTGAGGTGAGTACTTGGCTACTAAACAGTGAAATTGGTTGAAGTAAAAACGGGCTTCAGGAGGACCCTATCGAGGAGATTCTGAGTTCTACTAAGATTGCCAACACAGGGCATCTGGGAAACTGAGTCCTCTATCCGAGTTTTCTGATTTGGTCTAAGCTTAATGACTAAAAGCCTTGGCGACCGGCTAATTGCTTGATGAAGAGTGCCTTACACAGTGTGTTAGTAGGAAGCCACGTAGTTGCCTTTTGTGCAACTGGGCACAAAACGCTTAATTTTCCTTCTGCTGCTAGGCCATATGGATGCCTAGGCAACAATGTCCCACAGTTCCATCTCAGGCCACTGTCACAGAAAAATAAGAAAATGGGACACAGGAACATAATGCTACATCATTCACTTCTTACTACAGTAACAAGTAGCTATCCCACTCCCTTCTCTTTTTGCAGTGGCTGGAACAGGGGGCAGAATCTTGGAAAACACAAAGAGCTGAAACCCACAAAGGAATCTTTGCAAGATGCGCTTCAAGACAAAGGAAGCTAGGAATTTCTTGTGAGCTTTCTACAGCCAGTAGATCCCCTACCAGGCTCACTGCAGGAGAAACAAAGGCTCCATGGTTCTCCTAAGCTACTTCCGAGTTGGAACCTGTTTCAACAGCTCCCAATGCCAGCAATAATCTACTCACCTTGCTCGCCGTATATTGTAGGGGGAATATGGTGCTGAGGAAAAAACTGAGGCGGCATATCTCCAGGTCCAGTAACAGGTGGGTAGTAAGCCGTGTGTGAGTTATGAATAAAATGGGGGTGGTGAGTCAGGTAGGGGGGCAGGTGGTGGGTTGGAGACATGGCTGAGGGATAGCTTGGGGGGTAACACTCAGGAGACTGCGGTGTGACCACCACCCGGCGGACTCCAGTATTGTCTTCAATCACCTAAAGAAAACAGCAGAAAGAGACAGTGTCGTATATATTATCAACATTTCGTGGACATATATAGTATTTTACTGCTTCCCTTACTGGAATTTTCCTCTCCTCATGGAAGAAAAAAATAGTGCATGTTGAATTCTGGCTCTCTAATTCAAACCAATTTTTAGATGCGTCTTAGAAATAATAATGTTTAACAATGAAAACTTATGAAAATAAGCTTTCATCAACCACTTGATTCTGATTACACAAAACTTTTTGGAGAGATCAATGGCTTGGTAATAAATCTCGTTTGTCTCATAAGATTTTCCAAGAAGACCTGGAAGAAGACTTCTGAAGACTTCATCCAAGACAAGTGAATTTCATGTGTGATTTAGCAATGACTTTGAATGTAACTAATGGTTCACTGGTTTTCCAGAAAGGAAATTTCTGAGTTACATAAATGTACTTCACAGGGCAAGCTTTCCAGATGGGCTTGACAGCTTTTGACCCATTCCTGCTTTAGCATGACCGTACTATTTGTACAGGGCTTTCGGAAACAAAGAGAACATTAACTTCAGAGGCCAGGGAGTACCAAAGGTTCGTTTAATTTGGGACCAAGGATAGCAGATAAAATGAGGGGATTCCAACCAATAAAAAACTCAAACAATACTCAATCAAGATGGACACCTTTGCTCCCAAGACATCCTGATGACAATGGGAGCTGTGAAGGGAGACACTAGGACAGGGGACCTGCTATAAGCAGAAGGAGCCCATCACCACTCTGTCCACACGTTTTTCAGAGGCTTTCTAATACCCTCAAGGAATGTAGCTACGGCAGTATAGTAACAATGTTTACTGCCTCTCTGGCCAACTCCATGGGACCTGCTCTCAAAACAAAGGCTTTTGTTGAGATGCCAGGTAAGAAATTACACAACAGATAACATAATTAAGAGGGAAAGCTGAGGAGCAGAGGAGCAGGGAAAGGCAGAATGAGGGATGCTTTAGGATTTGAAAGAATTGATAGTGCTGGGATAGCTCGGAGAAAGGCCCCTGGGGTCAGGGCCCAAGAGTACACCTAGATGCCAAAGAGACCAGCTGGCCTAATCAAGTATTTAAGACAATCAGGCACACACTGGTAGGAAGCTTGCTTAAAAAAAATAGTAATAATTTTAAACCACCACCACCACTACTAAAAAGCACTGAAAATTAAACTTGTATATTGAAATAGATTTCTCATTACACCTCAGGAGGCTGATTATAGGCCAAAATAAAATGACTTAATCATATCTAAAACATTCTAATAAAAAAATTATAATATGCTTTGTTTAAAAAAAAAAAAACTGTTTGATACAAAATGTCAAGTTTATCAATGTTAGCCTGTACATGAGTGTACGAGTTAGATCCCATCTGAATTAACAGCCAGTCATCTTTATGTTAAGAAAAGAAAGATTGTTATGTTTATTAATGAACCAATTAACATAATAATTTCAGAATTAATCACTACGTTAACAGTTCATTAAGATAACAGTATTAACTCCTTAAAATGAAGATTCTGAGTCATACTCCCTCCTAAAGCTCAAGATGGGGCTTTTTACGCATTCTTTAATAAATGTAACCTCTTCTGGGTTTTGACAAGCTAATCCCATTAACCCCATTTATGAAGGCATGGCAGTTGATAGAAGGTAGATGTGAAATGATGCTTAAACTATGACGTCGTTAATGCTATGTGCGTGCTAGCATCTTCTATATCATCTAAAATGCAGAGCGAGAAAAGGGCATTTGGTAATTGCAGTTTGTACAATTTTTGTGTACGTACAGATTTTTCTTACTATCTGATAGAAACACACATTATTCTATCGTCTTCCTTCTCCCCCACTCTGCCTCTGGCTAGTAAGAAAAAAGTAAGGTATATTCCAGATGTTCCTCCTTCACGGAACCTCCAATTCAATCCTGTGGTAGACACCAGAAGGTCCACAAAAGCAAAGTATTTGTTTTCTTAAAACTTGCAACCTGCATTACATTGATTATTGTAAAACTTCTAATGACCTACCAGCCACACAGACTCAGGCAATACAGTAAAACAAGAACACGGCCCTCACTAAATATGAAGAACTCTGGGCTTACTTGTAAACAGGAGCATATTACAGTGAGAAGAAATTATTTTAATTTCATTATAATTTCTAACTTGCTAAAAGAAAACACTTAAAAAATGAGGTGAACAGAAAGCACTAACAAAGAAAAGAATTCTACTACAGGGGAAAAAACTCTGTAAGAGATACAGAGCTAATACATTAGCTTTTTACCAGTACATTTTGAAAGAATAAGTACTGCCACTAATTTGAAAAATTAATAACTCTGATGCATAAATTATGCTTCACGAAAAGAGAAGTTTCCAGTCAGAAAACCAAGTAGCTCTTTGAAACCACAAATGGCCTAGTTATAATGAAAATTGTCTGACAGCCACATTTTTAATTATCTTAAATTATTCTGTGGTATTTGTTCATTAAAAATATTTTAAGAAATGAAATAATTCTAAAATAATGAGAAACAAAAATTTAAAAATATGCTGAATATTTTGTTCACTGTTCTTCCGTAACACAAACTGCAATATATTTATCAAATTCAGGTTTGATCTATGTCTAAGGAAATTGTGCTTATGTTCCCCCAAACAATAAGAAAATCCAAGGAGTAATAAAAATGCACAAAATAATAAGCAACTCAGGAAATCATGGTAATAGTACTCTTTGTTTAAAAATTAGGTTCCTAGGGATGTCAGGTAAGCATCTGCCTTCAGGTTAGGTCATGATCTCAGGGTCCTGGGCTAGAGTCCAGGGTCTGGCTCCCTGCTGAGCAGGGAGTCTGCTTCTCCCTCTCCCTCCACCCTTCCCCAGCCCCTGCTCATGTGCTCGCTCTCTAATAAGTAAATAACATCTTGAAATTAAAAAAAAAGAAAGTTCATAAAGAAGTATTACTAGAGAAGAATTCAGACATTTGAAAGAGTTCAGTCCAAAAATCCTGAGGCAATAAAATGTGCCTTCACAAGTGACCACTGAAAAGACAGATCCATTTGCTTTTGGGATGAATGAAATTTTGACAATATCCAGAGGCAGACAAATCACCTGTATTCAATTCAACAATTATTTCCTGTAACATACTATGAGCTAAGCACTGGATGTTCATAACTGAGGAAAAAAATAGGTAGGATTCATCTACATACTCTAAGAGTAATATAAAGAGAAACATCAGACTAAGTTCCAGTAAGTGCTCTTCAAAAATCAGAACACAGTATTGTTTTTTCAAAAATCACAACTATTCTTCATCTAGATTTTTTCCTAGCTCTGTGACTCAACAAAACAGTCACTCACCAATGTGCTAGTTTCTCAGACAGTCACCCATTATGGGCTTAAGTGTGTGCGCTCCCCCCAACCCTGCCCACTGCCACTCTTCACCAATTCATATATTGAAGTCCTAACTCCCCAGTAGCTCAGCATGTGACTATTTGGACACAGGGACTTTAAAGAGATAATTAAGGTAAAACGAGGTTCTGTGGTTGGGCCCTAATCCAATATGACTGAGACTGCTGTAAGAGGAGCAATTTAGGACAGACACACACGGAGGGAAGATCATGTGAGAACATAAAGATAGAAGATGGCCGCCTACAAGCCAAGGAAGGAAGCCTTAGAAGAAACCAAATCTGTAGCCTCTAGAATTGTGAGGAAGCAATTTCTGTCATTGAAGCCAACCACTCTGTGGTACTCTGTTACAGGAGCCCTAGCAAATCAACACAGCACCTACCAGAGCTCGATGGCCAACACGAGCTGGCTTGATTCTTCACCACGTCATTGAGTCTGCTCAATAAACATTCTCTGTGAAACGTCTATGTGCCTAGTACTCTTGCTAATCGGTGGTCTAGACACAAAGATGAGAGGCTGGAAAATAAGGTGCTCACAACAGGGAGAATCTCTGTCACACTTGCACCTCAATTTTCCTTCTGATCCGTACTCTGAAGTTTTCAGTATGTAGAGAATTACACAGAAGCTAGGTATGCTGAGAAATAAATACATAAATAATGAACCACAGGAAACAGAACAGCTGGGTTCTCAGAAATGTGAAAGGATTTAAGACAAACCAGTCTTTACTGACTACTTGCTGCTCTGCTTTAATACCCTCCATCTGAAACAAGGCAACACACGTGAAGGGCCTGGAACAGTAACGGACACCTGAAAGAAAAATCTTGCCTAGTCATTACTACTGTTAAGATTAACACCTCATTAAATCCTCCCAACAATCCTGTGAGGCATATCCAGTTATCCCCATTTTAGAGATTAAGAGGAACGAAGCTCAGGAAAGTTCAGCGAACTGACTCAAGGCCAGAGAGCAAAAGGGAAAGAGAGGGAACAATTTTGAGTCCCAAGAACTAAAACAGAGCTCTTAATAACACATTTTGAGTGTCTTTTCTCATAGCTCACAGAGAAGGAAGGTAGCTCCCCTTACTGAAATAAAATGCTCCACAGGAAAACTTTTTTTTCAAAGATTTATTTATGTATTAGAGAGAGAGAGAGAGAGAAAAGAGAGAGAATCTCCAGCAGACTCCCTGCAGACCGCGGAGCCTGACATGAGGCTCCATCTCAGGACCCTAAGATCATGACCTGAACCGAGATCAAGAGTCAGACGCTTAACCAACCAAGCCACCCGGGCACCCCTCCGCAGGAAATTTTAATTAACGCTTCAGTTCTTCCAACTCTCTCCCTTCTGCTTCTGGGTTGCAAGCAACAACAATCAAAAAAGGGGCTTAAATGGTTAGTAACAAAGGAGAAATTTTAAAAGGCCGTTCCAGTTGGCCGAGGATGATCCAGGAAGCGGGCAGGGCAGAACGCGCATGGACACACACGAACCCAGCACGAGCTCAAGCAGGGTGTGGGGCTGGGCGGCCGGCTTGCTGCAGTGCTGACTGCACACAGGAAACTGGGACCAAATGAGTTTGTGAAAATCAGGCTCCAGCTCAATTCCTAACTCCTGCCAACAAA